ATATATATATCTATTCTTTTTAATATCACTGACATTTTCCATAATGGAAACCAGCTCCTGTGTGCTGAGCCGTTCTGGAAGGGGATCATGCATTTCTGCTGATGCTCCCACCACGCAAGGCGCAGAGATTCGTCTTGCCAGGAGCCCTGGAGCTGAAGGTCCTGCCTTAGGTAGCACAGACAAGGCAGCGGGGAAGCTGCGAGCCTCTAGGGGCTTTGCGGATCTCATGAGCGTGACTTTCAGAAGAGGCTCTGGCCACCGCAAGCAGGCCGGAGAACATACATCTAGTCCCACTCCTAGCTGTGAGTTGCAGCCTGCACTCAAGGCCTGAGGAGGAGAGCACCTCCATCAGGTCAACCCGGAGAGCATCCTCGCTCAGGTGAACAATGAGGAATGCCTCCCACTACCCCAGATCAGGATTTTTCCTCTTCCTCCGTTTGCAATGCTCTCTGCCCACCTGCATTAGGTGGTCGAGGCAGCCCGCGATGCTTCAGGCATTGGCGTTTCATAAGCGCTGAACCTCTCCCTTGGATGCTGTCCTACGAGCAGCAGTGGAGCTCTGCAAATGGGGGCTCGATGTGCTCCAAAACCAGCTGTAGGACGTGGGGAAGCAGCAGGGCTCTACAGCTGGCTTCCCCCAGCCCCAGTGCAGCCCCCTGCTCCTCCAGCCCCTTTCTGCACTTGAAGCCTCTGGAAAGCGGCTGCCGCCCTCTGCGCGCAGACCGTTCCCAGGCTCCCCTTCCCCGGCCCCTCTGACAGTTACAGCGTCTTCACATCGGCCACGTGATGGCTTTGGTATGCAGCTCGCAAGGCCAGCAAGGTTGCTCACCTTAGTTATTTAGCAAACACAACACAAATTATTAACGCTAATACAAATAACATCCAAATTTGGGGGAGAAGACAGAACATCCTTCGCACCTGATCACTAGGATTTGACATTACAGGGACTGCAGTATCCCTGCATCTTTCCAAGTAAATTGCTGACCAGCTTTTGGGGGTTTTGCTCCAATGACAGAAGGCACCTTTCAGCTCAGGCCAGGCCTGTGAGCGAGGGGTACAAACTTCTTCAGGTCGTCTTTGGGAGCCAGTCTAATTTCACTGGATTTCCAGTCATACATAGCTTACACAAATTATTAATATGAAAAAAAATTAAGCTGGCTCAAAGCTACAGTAGCCAGACAGTATTTGCTGACCCAGCAGATCCCTTCCTGTATTTTGTTTGTATATTCTCCCTGAAGGGTTTCTTGTCCAAGGCTGCTGGAGGCACTGACGATATTTATGGGGGGGAGGAAGATCATTCTCAGCACTCAGGCACATTCTCCTTTGCAGTTTTTATGCCACCCTCCCTGTGCCACCAGGCTCTTCCCTGTGAAGGCAAAGAACAGAATATGACGCTATTCCAGTATGACTAACATGAAACTCCCATCGATCTGTTTTCTTATTAACTAGTTTTCCTATGAGTAGAAGTATAAACGGAGCCCGGTTTCTGTAGGCTGGACTGGATGCATGAGTCTCACAAATGGACTCTGCTGTCTAAAGTGAGATCACCACACCAAACTACTCCTGTCTTTGAGACGATCACATTGTCTCTATTATGTGCAGACTCTCTGTTGTCTAGAAGATAGACGGCTTGGGCTGTTTGAGCTGGGCATATTCACAAGCTGATAATGATCTCCAGGGAGGCAGGAGCCATTGTCAGAGCCTATGAGACACACCCCAACTTCAGGCCTTTTTCCTACTAATTCTCAAAGTGCTGCTGAACTACTCAGTAGAGTTATGCTGAGCAGAGACGTTCCCGCTGTGGCTCTGTGCCCACTAAGTCGCAAGAGGCTCCTTCCTTCCCTAGAAGCCCAAGCGCTTCCCTCACCCTGCTGAGGGAAAGCATCTCGAAACATTACGAAGGGCCTCACCTGGCCAGCCACAGAAATGAGCCACGGGCCCCCATGGTGCTGCTGGGAGCACAAAGGGGAGGATATAAAGCACCCTGCCCTGAGACAGCACATAGTTAAAATGAGACACTGAAAGAAAACAACTCTGCACAAGGAACGGTTATTTTACATTACGTGTTCTTTTCCAGCTGTGTGTCTATACGGTGCCCAGTGTGAAAGAGCACGTGCCTGAGGTACGCAAATCTAGCGTACCTCTATAGTAATGCACAGAAGTAACAGTAATGCTTAGCATGTATCTGCTGTCCAAGAATCTCAAAAGCATCATAGACATAAGTTAACAACCTACATCCATGTCATTTCTTTTTAGTGCCAATGCCTTTCTCGGGAACGCTATCCAGCTGCTTTAATGAGGAGACTTCACTTTACTGACACACAGTGCCAGGTCGAGAGAGACCCTACATCCAGCTCACTCTGCCTTTGAAAATTTGCTTTGAGCCAGCCCCAACTGTGCACACAGCTTTAAGAATTGATGCGTTTCCACAAAAAGCTCCCATTCCAGACACGATGCAGAAGGAAACACAGAGAGATAAGGAAGTGATAAAAAACACACATGCACGCACACACAGAGGCCAATAGAGACAGGAAGGGTGGCTCGAACACAGGGCCTAACCATGCTCACGCTTATGGCATCTATTTCACTATTTTTAATTCAAAAGTGATTAGTCTCGGAAGTGAGACGTGGTTCAGAAATGGGACGCGGGTACATCGAGCTGGATGGAAACAGATGTCGAGATCAGCACAAGGGATAAACTCATGCATACCAAAAAAGGCAAGGTGGCACACCCCCTTGTGATCACAGGTTTTCACTGGGATCCTTTCTCACTCCTTCATGGGGGGATGCTTTTAGCTTTAGGGAGGACTGGCTAATGCTGTTTTCCCTCCCATCAGCCCATAATCCTGTACTAGCTTGTTTTAAGAAGTTGTCGAAAGGGCCCAGTTCTTATCCTTTGCTAAAGGATACAGTAGGGACCGCACTACAGGGAAGGCTGGAGTTGATCCTACTTATAGTGTTGTGCCAGATCAGAAAAGGCCAGGTATAGGGTGGAAGACAGGTTTCCTCTGTGAAGTCGGCTCTTTCACCTCGGCCAAATTCTTAGCAATATAAACACGAGAAAACAAAGTGAAAAATCCAAAGGGAAAAGCCTCACTATGTGAGCTCTAGATTCTAAATCTGAGGCGTTCCAGGCTATCTTTAGAGAAGACTGCTGTCAGGAAGTCCTGAGAAGAGACTAGACAAGCAGTCAAGAAAGGATGCTGAGGTCTCAAGCTACTCTATTATAAAACAAAGTCAGAGGAAAAATGGGGCTGACAATTCAAAGAAGAAATATGCAGAACCAAATTCAGCCCATAGGTTTTAGCAAAGTCCGACTTGGTGGGGGGGGGGGGGTAATTTAAGTTACTGTCTTGGTACTTGGGCTCGGGAGACAAGGGACACTGCTCACTCACTTGCTGGCCAAGCAAGATTGAGGGGAGCGGAAAAACAAACCAACAAACAACACATCTCTTGTTGCCTGCTACTTTTAAATTCTCCTCCCTTAGTAGAAATAACTAGCGTTCTCTAGTCTTAATTGTTTCTAAGGCTGCAGTAGCTCATGCTTTGGTTTCTTCCTGGCAAGTGATCTTCTGTAGAAGTAACAGATGATCTAGAAACAGTCTCCCATCACAACATGTCAGAAAGGAGGCACCCCAGTAATTGTAATCACTTTGTCACTTCATAAAGAAGAACCTTCACTTAATCTGTGTAAACATGGATATTTATTTTTTTAAAAAGAAAAGTAACAATTTATTTCTAGATAGAAAATGCTTCACGCTCCTGCTTTAGAGCACCTTTTTCCTTTAGATCCTCAAATAAAATAACCATTTTGCTCACCATTGAATCCAGCAGCCCATAAACCTGCAGCAGAAATTAAGAGAAGATAGTTACAGTGAAAATGCAATAGGAAATCTTGATGATAAGACTGACAGAACAGAGATGGCTTCTCATATGGGAGCACATACGCACGCAGACACACACAGTCACACAAACGTTGCCGCTTGCTAACAGATCTTAGCTCTAGTAATAACTTTTCTGGCTATGAAGTGTGTTTAACATTACCTGAGATACAATTAATTCTGCGGATCCCTCAAGAGTCTGCAAGCATGCTAAAGATATCCCAGACAGAAATCCTGCACGTGGCTACGTAATGGCTGGATTTATGTTAACAGATTTCAGGCTGAGATAAAGGACATCTTACCTTGTATTTCGCACTTACCTTGCTACAGAATCATGGGCAGATGTTTGTCAGTTTTCTGAAGTTAACAAAATGCTTACCTCTCCACCTAGCTTCATCATAAGCTTACGAGCAAAGAACAAGAAACAAGGACAGTTATAAGTTTTGGCCAGACTCACTTCAATATAAAGTTTTTCCTGGTATTTCCCAAACAAAACAGGGTCCACTGGCTCCTGATGTGGTTCTACTGTATCTGTAACTACAGTTTCCACAGCTTGTGGTACCTCTTTCACCTCCTGGGATACATTGGAAGATTTTAGTTTTTTCTCATCTTTTAACTTTCTGCTGCTTGGATGTTCCTAGTCAGAGGAAAAAAAAAGAGAAAAAACTGAAGACGTCACGCTGTCTCCAGAACCCAATGCGCAGTTTTTAATATGCATGCTAACACATACCTCCTTCTCTTTTCCTGGTGTCTTTGTTCTTTTTTTGTCTTCTTTATCCTTACCACCAACTGACCTTTTCTCGTCTTTCTTAGCGGTTACTTTGTCTTCCTTTTCTCCTTTTACAAGTTGCTGTACTTCCACTGCAAAAGAAAGAATTCCAATAATCCAAAAGCGACACGTTCAAATTTAGAAAGACAAACCCACTACATCCATACAATGTAAATATATTATTTCCACAATGTATTTCCCTCTTTTTTGTTAATCTGAGCCATAATGCACCGAAAAAACCATGACTTTGAAAAGTACTTTGTTCAAATAAGGATTGAACAGGTCTAAAGCATACAGCAGAACAAGCTTATAAAACAGCTAATAACGATAGGGGTTTTTGGTTTAGTTTTGTGCAAGAACTAGGGCTAAATCTAGCCCAATTAAAAGGCATATTTGTTTTTATGATACCATACCACAGATCACAGTTAGTATCATGCAATGTACCATTTTTTCTGATACATTTCTGATAAAGACTTTGAGACGGGGAACTGCTAAAGTTGCCATTTCACCTGAAATTCACCAAGTTCTCTGGATTTCAAACTGTCCATAGAAACTGGTTGCCATGCTAAAACTACCATTTACCCATTTCCTCTGGAACAATGTCTGCACAGGTCTCCTTTTCAGGCATGCCAAGCAGGCACCTCAGCAACAGAGAGCGACTCACCAGACCATCTATTGTTTCACGCCACAACTGGAGACTGAGAAACAAAAGTATCAGAATCAGAAGGGAAACAGTACAGCAAATGTCCATTTTGGGAGTCGGAAGGGAGAGGCAGGGCCATCTTATTTTACCCTGTGCCCACGAATGAAGGCACCTTACAGCTAAGAAGAACTATTGCTCTGTCCAACTAACCCAACAAAATAGCACCTAATAGTTAAAAAGCTGTGTAGAGGGAAGCTAAATTGCTTTCCTGAGGTTAGAACCCTCCAAGGTCTCAATATTTTGCAAGTCAATGGGCTTGAATGAACCCAGAAATATTACTGTGAAACTAAGCCTCCTTCTCTTCAATACGACATGCCCGTGCTGGTGAATCTGCAGCAATCTGCTCTCTCTATATGCACACCAAGAGGTAGGTGCATCCTTCTCATATAGAAAGGACTAGAGACTGTTATGGTTACAGTGTTAAAGTCTGAGCAAAAACCAGACTGTACAAGAATACTGTAATCTGAGTATAACGGTAGACAAAATCACCCAATGGTTTTATAAATATAGCCTAGTATATTCTTGCAACAAATAATCTTGTATACGTCCCAAAAATTACAGGACTTTAATATTCGAAACGTATCTCCAGAATAAAGTGGCATCTGGGACCTAGACAGCTGCTCCAATTAACGTATAAAAACACAGTGCAGAGAAGATATCTAGATGACATAAAATTATCTGCTCTCTGAATCACAAAGCTTGCAATGGAGTTTGCTAAGGCTGTGGATCATAGAAGGCATTTACAAGGTTTGTCCTGCAAAGGTAACGCACCAGGTTTGATACAAAAGATCTGACTGAGTTGGCCTCTGTTTGACACATAGCTCCAGCGCTGCCTTATTGAGCTCGATCAGTGCTTCTTCTCGCTGCTCCTCCTCGGGGATTGACTGTATAGCCTGATGTAACAGAAAACACAGGGTCCATAGAGCACTTCCCAGTCCTCGTCCCCAGTCATCCAGACCCTGAACTCACTGGAGCACACCACGGCTGTCTTCCCGGACACCAGCCTGGAAACCAGGACATTTATGCACACAGGTGTGGCCTGCTGTACAGCTGGGATTTGGCCACGTGCATATGCGATCCAAGATCTGGGAAGCAATTCCAGATCCCCCACAGATAAGATTTATCCATAGCAAGCCCTTTTGCAACTTCAGAGGCACACTTAGTCCTTGTGCTGGAGAATGGGGATTCTGGTGAATTAAAGGGCTCAAAGTAAGGATTACTTACAAAGGCAGCTGAGAGGTTTCCAAGAGAGCACTGCAGAAAAACTGTGCTGGCAGAGACCAAACCACCCTTGCTTTAATGTAAGGAGGTCTGTATTTTATCCACAGCCTGTCATGAGTGCCCCCTTAGTACTCTGATGAATAGGAAGGACTCTCCAAGGAGAAGAGCCTTTGGAGAAGTCACAGGAGACTGTAGGATTAGCCTGCCCCCCTCCCAGCATTCAGTTCTAGGATGGCAGAAAGCTAATGGGGGAAGAGCTTAAAATAACTATTACTATTACATTGTCTGGCTCTCTTTTCTTCTTCACACAATAGCCCTCAAAGTCTCTCCTGGGAATCTCTTTACAAGAGCACTGAGGGTGTGGTCAGAAGAGACAAAATGCTTTTCTCTGACACACATAATAAATCATCTCTAACACACAGCACCTTGGAAGTAGACCTCTGGGTTGGGCTCACCCCGGAGCGTGCCAGGCTATTTGTAAGGAAAACGAAAATACCATTAACTTATTATAGAGCTAGAGGGAACAGGGACAACCACCTCCTTAAAGTGCTTGAAGGAAAGGTTCCATCCTGACTGGTTTGGTTCCTCCTCCTCCACATTCGTCATCTGACTCTGAGTTGCCTTGAGAGTGTTCTTCTGACTTAGAACCTCCTCTGTAGAGCTCTTCTGGGCAGGGAGAGCCTCTGAGATACTCTCCTCGTACCACATGTCCTCCACAGTGCTCTTCTGGCCTGAGGGCACTTCCTCCTCAAAGGCTGAAGGAGCAGCCACGTGCTGTCTCCACAGTTTATGGAGTTGTTTTACCACTTGATGTTGATAATGCAACTTTGATAACACGAGGAAAAAATGTAAAGAGAGAAATAAGTTATGCTTTTCCTCTCCAAGTCTAATTCTTAAAGCCACCAGGGCTGACTATGCCAGCCTCCAGAAACCCACGGATGCACCAGCCCTGCTGGTCTTCCTCCCCTGCTATTTCAGCTGTGTAGCCCATCAGATATGAAACTTCACCTCTGGATTCTTCTTGTGGAATAACTCTTCCTCTGTGACGTAGGCATCCACAGGAGATGGGGTGCGCTCTGGGGTCCGAATCCGCTCAAGAAGTTCCTTCAGACTCTCTTCCACTATAACAGCACCCTCTCGAGCAGCCAGGTCTGTCTGAGGCACCACAACAAGCACAACATGTCTGAGTTCCCATTCCATATACAAACTCATGAACAAACTGCCACACTAGTAACAACATATATACGTTATACAGGGTTACAACAACAAGAATAATTGCAAACCCCACTAAACAAAGCAAGGCTTACAATAGCTTTCCAAAGAAATACCACAAAAATCCCCCAGCAAAACTATACTTTTCAAAGCATGGTGTAATTTTCACTTTATACTTTAACAGATATTGTATTGTACGACATCCAGTCCCATCCCCGCTAGTAACTAATAAAATTCATCACCAAAGGAAAATTCATTTTTTAAAAAGGACTAACGTGAGCAATTTAGGAGACACAATCACATCTTTATTAACAACACTACAATAGACTGCGGAGTTGCTCTTCCATTTTATCTAGTAAACCTGATTAAGTATGTACAGATGTTTAGAAAATAAATCATCTCACTCTGGGCCCTAATTGCTTGGCAATAAAAATACCATGTCATCCACTCCCTCCCTTATCCTCTATTTGCATAGTAAGTTCAAAGCTCACAGTTCCCCAGTTACATGCTTGGTTACCTCCAGTTTCTCTCTGAGGTCAGCCAATTTATCCTCATACACAGCAATTCCCCAAAGGGAGACCTGCAGCAGAGCTCCTCCTAATAACAGCGGATGTGTCCTAAATTCCCAGGACTCACTGAAAATTCCTGCTTTCTCCGACTTGAAAAAAAATGCAAACTTCCTAGTTTCTCCAGGCAAAATGATACCTGCAATAACAAAGAAAATATATCAGTCTGTACAAAACTACCTGGTTAACCCAGTCCTTTTCCAAACACTCCCATGAGTCTTCTCCTCTCTTTTTGACGCTGTTTCCCTGTAGCTCTGCCGTTTATCACACTTTGTCCATCTATTGCTCCTTCCCGATTTACTCCCGTTCACCATGCTACTGAACTAGTATTTTCTCCATCGCACGCTCCTTTTACAGTGCGCTCAGTACTCTCAATGGGAGATTATGCAGTTTGCGATCAGAAAATGATTCACTTTTAGAAATTCCACCCATTTACATTCAGAGTAGGACCAGAATCCTTTTGTTTAAATCCCATGAAAGGGATCTGCCTCACACACTTTTTTGGTGTTAGTCAGCTCTGAGGCCCAGGGTCGCTTTCTAAGGAGAATCAGCCAGTAAGCTTGCTCTGCCATTAGTCAGACTCAGCAACTCCTGAACGCGTGCTCTCTGGTATATGTAACAAAGGTCTCACAGATCAGCAGTTCTCCTACCTGGTCTGGTATTAAAGTAAAAATACTGCATCCCCTTCTTTGTTTCTCTGAAGGGAATTTGCTGGGGAAGCCTCCTCCAGCTATACCAGATGGCAGCTGTGCCATCATTGCTCACTGTCAGGGAGCTTTCAGCTCTCTCACCAGCCACAATCTCAAAGGTGAGCCGAGCAGCAATGCCAATTTCATCCTACAAGGAAGAGGAAAGGACAAAGGTAACAATTTCTACTCTATCCGGTAAGATTTGTCTTGCCTGAAGTAATACTGCAAATATGGGGCTGAACCTTGGTAGGAAAACCTGTAAGGCAGGTCCGGCCAAGCTGTCATTATATAGAGCCCGGGAATCTGAGCTTCACACCACAGACACAGCAACTGCTTCTGCTTTGAGATCCCTCCAGAGCAAATATGGGGATATGCTCAGAATAAATCACTCATTCTCTGCCCTGGGAGTGATACTCATTGTACAGCTGTGACTTGGGAACTAAAGCAGGCTTAACTGACTAGACAATAAAAAGTTTATGTTTACCCTGTAAGAATTGGTGCTGTTGATCCAACGGGCAGGCTGGCCACAGAAATCTAAAGACGGACCCAGGACTGATTCTGGAACCACATCGGGATAGTCTGTAAAGGGGTCACTGCTAAACGAAACAACAGGCAGTGTTCTGTGGAGCAAAAATTCATTTTAAGATAGGGAAGAATCAAGGGGTTGTCACCCTATAAGAAATAACTGCCTGATTAACGCTTCTGCACAGAGTCCTCTCTTTATGGACAAGCCCTGCAGATTTGGTTCCCCATAGTAAACAAACTCCACGTAGGGACTTGTCACCATCAAGGAGGACAGGACAGCCAGGACAATACAAAGAAGAACGATACCTGCCTAAGGAAGGCTGAGGGAATAAGGAGAAATGGCCCTAGGGTTGTACTGGGGTGGGGAGAAGAGGAAGACAAATAACTGATGGATGTGGAAGGCTGAAAAAGACAACCAGATGGAGATAATTTGGAGCAGAATCTCCACTTTGTCTGAAGTAAGCTCTAGAGCTACACAGAGGAAAGACAGGAGGAAGGGCCCCAAAAAACTTTTCTCTGATCCTTGCTCCTTAATCACAAGACCCCAAGGTAAAAAGGAACTGCTTTCTCTCTAAATCTGGTGGTTTTAAAGTTAAAACATGCCTTTTATCAGGCCCCAGTTGAGACTCCTCTCCATTCCGGATAAGGAAAGCTAAGGAAACCCTTACAGACTGATGGTGCATATCCAAAATTCCTTATTTCTATCATGAAGTACAACTTACAGGCTCTCAGGCTCTTCAGAGGTGGTGGAGTGTGAAAAAGGCTGTGTCGAGACAGATGTGAAAGGCTGGCCTTTACCAATCACCTCCAGTCCATCCAGATCCTGGACATAAAGAAAAATGACCAACTCGCAATTTTTCTTTTTATACAGAAGGGAAATTGGAATATTAGACTAACGTACCAATTCAATCAAGAACAAGTGAAGTTCAGGTGTCTTGCTCCTAGGACTGTTTCTAGATGCAGCCAACGAATGTTTAAGAGACAGGGGAAGGAATCTATTCTGGGTCTTCTGAGAATCCTCGGTAATTGCATTCCCCCCTACTAACGCTGCAAGCATGGAAAAGCTCCCTTCTCCACATCTTTCTCATTCCCACCACCAGGTTTCAGAAAGAAAAGCTGAGGCTCATTCATTTTTTTAAGAAGAGGGGCTACCTGTCTTCAGGAGAAGATTTTGAATGTATGTCTTCCAGGTCAGTAAAGATGTCTTCCTTCTGCCTTGAGGCACTAAATCAAAGTCCTGTATCAGCGCTCAGTGTTTTTTTATTGCCTAGGTCCTGGCAGCTGCATGCTGCTGGTTTGGGGTCCTATTCTGAGGCACCTAGCCTTTTCCGTGCATCACTTTGGGAGGCTGGACATCCCTTTCGTGGCTGTGATTCCCCTCTAGAATGTGAGAACTTCCAAGTACTGCATGGCTAAGTTCTAGATTCTTAATCCTTTCCCAGTTCCAGTCCCTAATCAATTTTACGTTACTCTATAGCCGGTAACAAGAGACTAGTGACAGAAACAACGCTCTTGCTCCTCCAGTCTTACTGGCTCATAAAAATCCAGCTCTTCTAGGATAGATTTTAGCTCTTGCCGTCGACGTTTCAGGAAAAGACTCTTATCCCAGGTTAGACGGAAAGGGGCCTTCTTTGGAGACTGCAAACCTGTGGAAATACCCATACAGGAGTTCACTGTCATACCCAAACACCTATTTATTTCATCCTCTGCCAAGCTCTGGTCTCATAGTGCTTTAAAGATTCAGCCCCTTTAGCATGAGCTTTATCGCAGCAACATCCTGGGCACGTCATAGAAGTTAGAGCAATATAGCCTTCCATGTAGTAAGTCTACCTCTGTAGTGACTTGAGGCCCAATTAAGGATGACTGGGAAGTACCTTGTGCTGCATCTATCAAAAGGGAAATGGTAATGCAAGCTTATGTATTGGTACGAGCCACTAAGTCATTCTGCTGCTCCACACTTATACCTCATTTCTGTGGTATGATCACTCTGAAATTCCCTTACCTGTTTCCATCCGGATAGTCTGAGATTTCCCCACATGAGTGATTGGCTCTGGGTAGCCACGTTCTCTTTGAGTCAGTGTCATCATCAGGCCAGTGAGTTCATCTCCAATACGCTCGGGCTGGCTCCAGAACTCACTCCCTCTTCGGTAGCCCTAGTGCAGAAAATAAGCCTCCCGCTGACACCTTCAGATACGTACAGCCTGCCTGTTAGTTTCCCAGGGACTAGACGGTAAAAAACAGAGAGTGTCTCACTCTGTTTAAAGGGATATTTTAAAAGTCCATAAATTAATCACTTTCCACAGAATAAGCCAAAATTTCTACTAGGCTGCTGTCAAAGACAAAATAAGACCTCCTCCTACCTAGTACCAGGGAAATACTGGCTAAATGAAGGCCTAATGATATAAAATAACGCCTCACATAGCACTTTCAAAGGATCTGCATCTATAAATATAAAAATTTAACTATAGGATACATTCATAATCCTCCTGCCTTACCCACAGACCTTTCTCAATGAGAATCCCTAAAATTCAAGCCTGAAGTCGTCAGATCTTTTTGGCCCTGGGACAGTAATTCCAGCACATACCCATGCCATCTCTCAAGTGCATGTCAGCCCATGGTGAGAATCCAGACATGGCACTTGCCCACGAACTGCAGTTCATCAGTAAACACAGCGTTGCTTTCCTCTGACTAGTAGGAATAGCACAGCTCATGTTTTTATTTTCAAAATCACTGAAAGCTCTGCTTAAATTCTAGGCTGAAGGACTTAGAGTGACTTTGATAAGTATCTAATGACAGCTCTTCAGAGATGTTATTCACAGCACCAGTAGCTTAGCTCTTTCACAAGGGCATCGTAATCAGGATCCAGGGGAAGCGAGGCTCTCACCTTCCCAGGAAGCAGGGCAGGGAGACTACGGTCAATGAGGTCACGTTCTTCCTGGATTTGCCTGTAATCATCTGAGATGTTCATCAACAACTCATTCTCCGGCTTCTGAAGAATTTCTAACAACAAGGAAGACCAAACCATCAGCGCTGCCCCTCTCATGGGCATACCCTTTGCCATTACTGTTCTTCACTTGTAACCTCCCTACAACCATCCTCACCCAATCTGCTGTCCTACTCCAAGCCAGAGGCACCAGCTCATGTCCCCACAGCCTCCAGGACCATCTAGAGGCAGTAGCAGCACGGGGAGCTCTGGGAACGTGGGTCTAAACTGCAACAGCATTCATCCTAGTCTGCTATGACCATTACAACTTGTTGTGATGCCATCTAGCTCCCCCATTTCCACATAGAATGTCATACAATGAGGTCTCAGCTTTACTCACTTCCCAGATATTTCTCCTGCTTCTTCCTGATTTCCATATGATGATGCCAGTTCTGGAGAGCTTTGTGCTGTGATGGTGGGGTCTGATGAACCTTTTTCTTCTCTCCTCCCCATTTCTCTTTTAAAGCTGCTGCTATAACATCTTGAGGAGAATCCTCAATAAATTCTGCTCTCTGAAGAGAAAGAAAACATTAGATTAACCTCTGCATGCACACACTGCCACCACGACAAAAATGGGAGAGGGGAAAAGAAAAGAATTCTTCAGACTGATGGTACCTTTACCTAATCACTCCGAAGGGGAACAGAAATTGTGTATTAGGAGCGCACATAGAGATAGTGGAAGACTATCCGAGTGGCTGGACTCAGGCAATGGGGGTGTTGCATCACCGGTTCTTCCCACGCCAGCCTGACGCTGTCTGCAGAAGCTCAAACGGAAAAGAAAGCTTCTGCAATTCTTCCTTCCATGACCTACTCCCACGCACAGGGCTTCTAAACCTGCTGGTGCAGTTTCTCTGAAGCAAGCCCTTCCCACATGGTATAATGAGGCCGGGAAAACCACCTCTCAGGCCTGACCTGTTCCTGACAGGTGCTGAATTAAATCAAAAGGTACTGTACACACTGCACTCCACCTCTAGAAAAGCGTTGCACAGCAGCATTTTCATCACTTTGCAAACCAACCTGAGTGTTTCCCCTGGCTAAGGCTTCCCTCTTGAACTCCTGAAGGCTTCCTAAAACGTGATGAGGGAGAAGCTCTTCATAGCCATCAACCAATAGCTCTGGTCCTACAAAATAAAAAGTCAGAGTCAGGTCACTAAAGGTAGGTTTGCCTAAACCAAAAGTCAAAGGTAAGACAAGAAGCTGAATCCTACCAACAAAGCTCAGTGGTTTCCCAGTTGCCGTTGGAATAGCAGGATACGCTACTAGGAGCTGCACCTTCTTCTTTGTCTCTTTGGGTTGATGTTTTCGAACAAGGAATTTCCTCCTAACTGGAATTTTCTCAGCATCACGGGGAAGGTGCGGAGGATGGAGCTACAGAAAATAAACAGTAACAGCGCAGTTGGGCATGCACTGACCCATCTCCATTCCTTCAGATCTTTCTGGGATCAGCACAGAAACTACGTGACTCACATGGGGTCTGGGGAGCCCTATCTGTACGCTTTGTTCCTCCTCAAAGAGATGTGTTACATGACTGTATAGATACCAATTTAGTTACTGTCTTAATCCTCCTGACTGCTGTAAAATTGGGGTAGGGAAAAAGAGTTTAAATGGCTTTCTCGAGGATTTGCTGATGTATCTCTTGGTGTCAAACGCTTCTGCTCCCACAGGTGATAGTTACTAAACAACACATGCATCTCATGAGATAGGAACGTCAGAAGTGTAATTTTGAAGGCACAGGTGACTTATTCTTCCCTTTTAAAAGATCATTTAGTATTCCTTTGTGTTTAGGAACTGAGCCTGATGATCTGACAAGTCATAAGAAGCAGGACAGACAAAATGGAATGAACTCCAAGGGTTTGCTTTGGTTCAAATAAATGTTCAGGACCCTCTGTTAAACACGCACACAAAAAGGAAAGGAAGCTGTTTCTCTTAGTAAAAATACATACTTTCTCCAGGTCCTCCACCTTAATTGCAAGCGCTTGGATTTCATCTCCTTGCAGAACACAGGGAACAGGCTCAGGCTCTTCTGCAATTGTTGGGGAGGACACTTCAAATGCTTTTACCTTCTTCTTGTCTGAAAGACAAGTGAAATGACCTCTTCCTCAGTCTCCCAAGGAAACCCCATCTTCCTCTTTCAGTCTGGCTTCAAGTCATTTTCAGCTGAACTGCTTTTTCAGGGTTGCATGGAACAATCAACTCAGCACCCCTAATACCTAGAAAATCAAATTCTGAGAAGCTACAGAACCAGAGTGAGTCACTGAGTGAGAGAGATTCAACTGTCTTATGCCCTTTACTCAAGATGAGACACAATGAATTAGTTGCAAACACCATAGCTATGCGTAGCAGAATGAATTCCAGGAGTTTCCTACTCCGGTTTCAAATGCAAGCACACAGCTTCAGGGCAGAGTCATACTACATTACGGTCACTAAGCAAAGCTCAGTTATATATACAAAATTAACAGCTCTTCAGTATATACTAAATAGCAAAAAGATCTTCAGAACCATTTGCTGATTGCCACAGTGGTATTCATCAGCATGGACAACCGCAAGGCAGGGAACCAGCTGAAGGCAATCATGTATCAGTTTTCTTTCTCCCGCCTCTCTTAACCTGTAAATCCTTCCAGCTAGGACCGTCTTTTCGAAAGACGCAACATGGAGGCTTTACAGTTAAAAAATAAATAAAGAACACCAACTGCACTGCTAAGTGGCTACTAATAACTGCCTGTGATATACAGGACGGATATTTTTGTAACGGCAGAGATCACGGAGTGAGTCCT